GCGGTTCGCATAGAAGGTCTGTCCAAGCACCATAGTAGATCTCATCAGCAACCCTCTAGCTCAAGATACGGTTGAGGCAATGGCAATTCTCGCTCCAACAATCGAGGCAACTAGCAAAAAGCGGTGATTAATGTGGTGGTCATTGTGACTGACACTAAGAAAGCCACCCCTCAAACCTTAAACCTCTCCAAGGCACAGACACCTGAGGATGGATTCAAGCAACAACAGTCCTATAATAAGGTCCCACCCCCTAAAAATATAAATCGAAGTGATTACTGGATCCCGCACCAAAACAAGGTGTAACCCTTCGAGCATGAGTGACTTCCTGCACTGCTTCGATTACTACTAGAGCAAAACATGATCTAGCTGTCGGAGGTCAACACCCCAGAACAAGCTGGATAAGAGACACACGAGAGGTACTACGCCTATCACAGGAGAGTAGGCCACTCCACTCAAGAGTGCTATAGGATCAAAGACATTATCGAAGCCGTTATTAACAAGGACTAGATAAAGCTCGAAGAGCTAAATAAAGCATTTAGGGTAACTGAGGCTTCCCACATAGTGACAATTCAGGAGGATGATGAGGCACCCATTGTCCTCCCTGTACTATTTTTCGTAATGCTCGAAGAAGGTCTCATCACGTCGAAGCCGACAAGGCAGCCCAAGTTCCTACCTTCAGAACTTAGAACCTCTGGTATCCGTATCATCTTATACGAGGCCATGACTTAAGAAAATGCACTGGCTTCCACGAGCTCTTGGCAAAGAAGATGCAGCAGCATCAAGAAGTTCATGGTAACCCAGAAGGACACCCTCGAGTCCTTGCTCTACCAGTACAAGAAGACCTCCAGCCACAAGCCCAGGGAATTGCTTAGTTAGATCCTCTCCAGCCCTCTTCGAGCCGATCCTCCAACAAGATCTCGTCACTCTCAAGCCCGCCAGGTAACCTAGGCTTCTTGCTCAGGGTCAAGAAAATCTTTAGTGCCCATATCACCAGGTATGGGGCTATGAGCTGGGAGAATGCTCTGGGTTCGAAGCTATAGTCTCGAAGAAGGTATAAGAAGACCACATTGTTTGCGTCGTTCTCCCAGAACGCTTCCAAGCCATCACTCATGTTCAAGAGGAAATCTCACTACAGGTCCCCTATAAGCATACACTAGACCCTTCAGAGCCCTCGACTTCTCAGCCTTGGGAAGTCTACCATGGACAAAGTAGGGTTATTCATCAACTCGATAGGACAGACCAAACACCTCCCAAGGGATCCAAAAGGAGACGAACACCTAGGTCAGCTCACCGAAGGAACCGCATTGCTTAGCCACCAGTGGAGGAAGAATTTCTCAGGCATCTTCCTCCACTGCCGACCTTACGGGACTTCATCCCAAGCGCAACTTGCGCTATCCCTTCGTCCAATTAGGTGGACGTCCCCTGAGTTATCAACTGCTCAAGACTCGTCCAATATGGGTGACGACACTAAAAGCACCTCCCAACGGTCAAAGCTAGGGCAAGACCTAAAATACCCCCTGCACACTCCAATTTTGGCGATGACGTAAAAAGCTGCCCGGACATTCTAACTTCGTTGTTTCTTCTTCTTCTCCTCCCTCCTCTTCTATCTCTTTCATAGGTGCAGTTCGGTAGTTCCCAAACTTCGACACTCTAAATAGAGAGCTCGAAGGCCCCAACATCAACAGATCGCAGCAGAAGCGCCTAAGAAAGTTGTTGGCCCAAGCGGCTGGATTCTCGTTAGTCGCCGACGCCCTAGCAGCCCAAGCCAAGTCTGAGCCATCTTCAAGCTCTTGTTCCAAGGAGGCCTCCCATATGGTGCAAATTTTGGAAGTACCATCTAGCACGGTGCAAATGAGCCTAAGATCAGGGAAGAAGCTACAGCCCACACCTCAAAAGCTCAAGGTCTTCAAGTTTCATGATCTTTCACTTTTCCCTAAACATCAACCTCAAACCTCCACATCCCTAATGCAAATCCCTATTACCTCCCTATCAGCCCAGATTGCACCAACCGAACAACAAAGTCAGCCAGTGTCACAAACCAAAACTCAACCATAACCTGCTCTTAAACCTACCCTACCACCCAAACCAGTGACTGGATTAAGATAAGGTGAAATATGACGTAATTGGGCATTGGAAAAAGTTTTCAGCCCTTCTAAGCATCTATGACACTCTTATGCTATCTAGAGACTACCGTATGGCCCTGGTTCCATCCCTTTTTAACCCGAAAGTGTACGAGACTGAAGTAGAGCCTATTGAGGTGGACCCAGCCATCCTGGGTAGGTGCTTGGCAATCACCTTTTTGAAGATGACCTGCAATTGGGAGGCAAATTTCACAATCACCCCCTCTTCATGAATGGTGAATTACATGCCTGCCCTATCAACCGGATTGTGTTGGATGGAGGTTCAACAGTCAACCTGATCCCAAGAAGGATCCTCACCCAACTGGAATTAGGATCTGGTGACCTCACTCCTACCTACATCACTGTGCAAAGGTCAACCAATCAGGAGAAAAGTCGACTAGGACAGTTTGTCTTCACATCAAGCTCGGTATATTTCTCGTATGGGTAGGAAGGCCCTTATTTTAGAACACCAAGAGCTACAAGTTATATGCACTTGATGGCTGTTGTTACTAGCCCCCCTCTCATCAACGGCTAAATGACCATTGGATGTCCCACATGCATCAACGGCTAGATGACTGTTGGCTATCTCACACGTGCAAAGTGTGCTATCAAGTGCCCTTACGCCCACCCACCTGCTCCCCACATGCATTATTTCTCTCATCTTTGTACTAAAAATACAAGGCATGAGAATAAGTGCTCTTAAATACACCTCAATAAACTCTCTACTCTTCAATGTGAGACTCAAAACCACATCTAACACTGTCTACAAAACACTTTAAAAAAAACCCCATAACCTTATTGTGGTTTTGAAATACAAGCAAGTATTTTTCGAACCAAAAAATTTCTAACAACTCTTCTTACCAAAATAGGAAAGCCCTCACCAACCCCTCTCTCTCACTCAGCAAACAAAGGAGGCAGAGGCTCTCTCTCTCTCTCAAAAACCAGGTACGTTCTCTCCCTCTCTCCTCCATTCTCTCTCTCTCCCCCGCCAAAAAGGAAAAACCCTTGCAAACTCGCCTCCGTCTCTCTCCCTATCTTCAATCTATAGGCAAAAGAAGAGCGATGCTTAAGGAAGAAACCCTTATGTACGCTCTCTATCTTCAATTAGGTATGCTCTCACCCTCTCTCTCCACCATTCACTCCTACTCTTTCTACATCTCTCTCGAGCCATATCTTTCTCCGCCGCTCTTTCTCTCCCCTCTACCTCCCTCTAAAACAGAGCATCTCTCTCTCTCTCCATGCCTCTCTCTCTGTTCCTCTATCTCTTATGAATCATATGGCATGATTACTTTGAACTATTGTCTTGCTTGATGTGTATTGTAGAGATACTGTGACTTTAGATTAAGAATTTTAATATGTTCATGTTTTTCACTTATTCAACAAATGGAACCGGTGTTCATCCTGGAACTAGACCGGAGACTTGTAGGGCATGTAGAGATTCTAGAATGGTTAGCACACATCTTAAGCATTTGCTTTCCCAATTATTAAGACTTCAACAGATGCTTATAGTATTTGTTTGTGGAATTGTCATGTGAATCTTTCCTTTGCTTTTGCTGATATTTATGCCTAGAGGTCCTTTTAGGTTGTAGTCACAGTGAAGTCCTTTTAGATTGTAGGGGACTTGATATAATGGTTAGATGCCTCTAATACATGCACGAGTGTTTAAAAAAACGGATCGGTGACTCGAATCAGTCACACCCTTAATAGGGAAAATCGATGGATCGCATCGGAAGAATATGTGGAATCCGTAATTTTTGTCCCAATTGGTTTTTTAAAAACTGTTCATCCTTTTTTTTTGCTTGATTCAGTGAAGAATCGGTTGAAATCGGTGAAGAATTGATCGGACTCAATGAAGAATCATCAGAATCGGGGGTTTTGTGAAAAAAGCTTACTGTTTTGAATCGACCAAATCCCGGCCTTTTACCAGATTCAAGACTGTCATGGCGATTCCCAATCCGGGTGCCCGATTCCATATCAAATCACCAATTTTTCAATCACAGTATTAAAGTGTTTGTGATGTCTTTTACTTTGATTTAGTCATGTATTGAGGTTCCTGTTAGCATATCTTGTTTGGTGCTGGTATGGCCCTTGTTCCCTAGAACATATTGTATTGACTGAACTTTTTGTGTGTTAATACTTCAAGGGATGTATATTATGTCAATCTGCTAAGACATGTGTTTGGCTTTTCATTATCAGCTTGATGCTGATGACCTGCTTCCTCGATTTTTGTTAGCTGGATTTTGGTCTAATGCTCTGATTCTGTTTTGTAGAGAGAAAGAGAAGGAGAGAATGGAGGAAAGAGGAGGGAGCATACCTTGTTTTTTAGAGAGAGAGGCTCTGCCTTCTTTGTTCGCGGAGAGAGAGAGAGAGAGGCGAGTGTTTGAAGTTGGCACGATTTCGCTTTTACCCGTGAGACAAGAGGGTGTTGAGGCCTCTGACGTAACTTGGGCATTTCATTCAATCACAGCAGTCCATTTAAATGGACGGTCCATATACATATGCGGACCCCTCATTTCTAGCGTAGAAAATTATATATATATATATATATATATTTTGAATCTGGGCTGATCTGACGATCACAGATATTCAGTGTTTGAATTTTAGTTTTTTTTTCTACAAATTTAAATCACTTGAAATTTTAAGCGTATATTTATAAAAAATAGATGAATATATATATATGTATATATATTATCAACCCATGTGCTTATTGCTACAGTGTCAGTCAATGGTTCAGATTGAATCTGGACCGATCTGACGGTCACGACCTTATTTCATAAATTTTCATTTTTTTTCTACAAATCCAAATCATTTGAAATTTTAAGCGTACATTCTACTCATGAAGACACACTTAATAAAAATATAACAACAATAATTCACAAAACATAAATATACAAAATACCTCTGAAATTTTTTAGAGGTATTTTGGTTAATTTATATTTTTCTTGAGTAATCATCTATCCTGTCTTGAAAAGTCAAGGTATGACCTAAACCTTAAGGATCTTCTTTTTTAATATCTAATTAAGACAATTTGACAGTGAGTTGGTCTAGAAATCATTAGGAACTAGATTCAGTTGTACTCAACCAATTTTGAACCATTATATATTTTTGTTTTGTATATAGAGCATTTTTTTAATAAATGTATTTGTTATTATTCGGATGGGTGTGATTTCATGCACATGAAGGTACGACATCACCCTTGTGGAGCACATTAATAGTATTTAATGCTTCATGTGGGTGATATCACAGCCCATGTAGGTGACATCGCACCTTCTTTAAAACCAAAAATACCGTTATTCAAAAAACGCTTTATATATATATATATATATATATATAAAGTCTTCCTATGAGAAAGCAACAGTAATCTTGCCACACCACCATCCACCGTCCGATCAAATTAATTAAAAATAGCAGTTAAGATCTGCTCCAAAATCCATCGTGCGAAAGGCCGCGATGGAATTAAAAGCTTCAAACCTGTCGAAATTTCACCCTCTACCCTCCTCTGCTTTGGTAACCTCCCTTCTCTCTCCTTCCCCATCTCTACTACTCTGCGGAGGTCCCCTCTCTCCCGTGGCCCTCTCATCTCTCTACGCTGCTGCTCTCATACTCTCTGCGCTGCTGCCCTCACGCCATCTCATTGCTCGGCCCCTTCTCTCAATGCCTTTCTCTCTCACCAGCTGTTTTAGAGAGAGAAGAAGAAACCCAACAGGTTTTAGTTCTCTCTATATTATGACTTTGCATATCATTTTTCCTTTCTCCATTGATATATGGAACGTGAGCTCTCTATCTCTCAGCCTGCATTAATTCCGTTTGTATCATTTTTTGGCTTGGTATGGATTTTTTTGTGTGCCCTTTTACCCAATTTTTTTTTGGTTAGTTCTCTCTCTATTACGATTTTGAATATCATTTTTCCTTTCACCATTGATAGATGGAACGTGAGCTCTCCACCTCTCAGCCTGCATTAATTCAGTTTGTATCATTTTTAGGCTTGGTATGGATTTTTTGTTGTGCCCTTTTACCCAATTTTTTTTTATGAATTCAATCACAAAAATAGAGAAACAATGGTGCAGTTGGATTTTATTACTTTCTTTTATCATTGATTCTGAAAAAAAATTGAATTAGATGTTTATAAATGGATTTCAGTGCACAATTTTTATTGTTTGGATCTATTACTTGAAGAAGTTGCAATGAATACTGCTGAATGCCCTAATACAAAAAATAATGCATGACTTTCAATTGAAATTTTAATACAATTATTTGGTTTTATGTTATGCTTTTATTCTCTATTTCACAATGCAATTTTTTCTTTTATTTTTTAAATAAATATGGGTTCAATGTTCATTTCCCTAAAGTTGAAGTTTGGAATAAAATCTTAGGGTTTTATGTTGCTTACTTTCTGTTAATGGTGCAAATAGGTTCATGCGAGATGAGCTTTTGTCTCAAGTATTGGAAGCTCTTCTTGTCATCCAGGTTCTTGTAGTACGGAAATCAAAATTGATAAGTGATTGCAATCGGTTATTGAATGTATCTCTTGGACAATCTTCTGCTTGAGACTAGTGAAAACAAGTGCCATTGCATACGGGCCTACATTTTTGGTTTGTTGATCCTTGGAGAAGAAAGAAAGGGTCTAAAATCTCTGGTATGGGATAGATAAGCAGTAGTCTTTGTTTTCTCCATTATAATTAATGGGATCGATAAGCAGTAGACTTTGTTTTTTCTGTTATAATTAATGGGATAGATAAGCAGTAGTCTTTGTTTTCTCTGTTATAATTAATGGGATAGATAAGCAGTAGTCTTTGTTTTCTCTGAATTGCTTTAGTATTCATTATTGTGTTATTTTGCCATTTAACATTCGGTGTTATAATGTAGTGGGAGGACATCCACCATAGCGCAAAGCTCTTGAGGCATTCGGCTACCTATGAACATATTGTCCAATCCCATTAGAGGAGCTCGAGGAGAAAAATGCGAATGATGATGTACTTAGGGCCATTGGAGAGAGTAGCTCTCGATCGGAGGATCAGATCCCGACACAACCCATTACTATGCCAATGCTAACGGAGGAGGTTGGACGGGCATACTATGCTTGTATCATGGATGTCTCAATATCAGCATCTCCCTCCTCTCCCCTCAACATTACCAATTCAAAAAATGGGAATGAGTGTGGTGCTCAGGCTATAGTGGATGAAGCTTGCCATGATTTTCCATTTGATGAGGATATAGTTGCAATAAATGGAGAGGAGATTTGTCACTTATGGATGCTGAGGCAGCCTTAGCAAGAGGTGCAAGTATCGAACGTACAATAAGAATGGCATTTATTAATGAAGATGAAGCTTATGATTATTATAATAAGTACGCAAAATTTGTTTGGTTTGGTATAAGAAAGGGAAAGAAATGTAAAGTTTGCAATAAGAGTGGACATGACAAACGTAACTGTCCCATGAGGGTACGTGGGATGTAGAGCTACTAAGGACCTCTAGCCAAGTTGACTAATTTATGGGGAATGTAAAGGAGTTGACTAATTTTTTGAATTTTGGAGACTTGTAAATACCCTTTTTTGTAGTTGACTTTGAGGGTTAAGTGAATATTCAATATTCATGTAATTTTGTGGGCATGTAAAGAACCCCTCTATGAGGGCATGTAAATGGGCATCTAAATAACCTATTTGGTCACTTTTTGGTAACATGTGTAACATTTATTTCTTTTCCATGTATTTCATTAACGTGTGCAATGTAGGTTTACTTGGATAATGAAACGCATTTATATCATCACAGTTCTCACTTTATTTTATTTTTTCTGTCGAGCGTTTGATACGTTCTTACCTTTTACCACACAAGAGGGCATACAAAAAAAAAAAAAAACAAAGAGAATTTCATTCACAAAAGATTATGTGTGTTTCATTGTAGTTGATGACCAGATCTCTCTTTCTCTCTCTCTCTTTATGTGTCTCAAAAAAAAAAAAAAAAAAACCATAAACTGAATAATACCATAAACCAAAGAATTTCATTCAAAAAAGATTACCATTAATTAAACAACGACTAATTACAACCATTTACAACCATTTACAAATCATTGGATTACCATTAATTAAACAATGACTAATTACAATCATTTACAAATCACTTAAGGTCAAACACCTCATGAAATAGGAAAAAAGATATAAGGAAGTCCAACACTTCTCGATAGCTAATTCAGTAATCCCTCTCTCTAGAATCATGTCCTTGAGGCTCTCTCCAGATGAGCTGGTTTCAAGTGACTTAGACACTCTCTACAACAAACTCTGAGCAGTTGTTTTCTCAGCTAAGCTCTCATCTTTAGGATTGTCTTGGTGCTCACATTCTGAAGCCTATCAAACTTTCCCAAATTTTGCAAATGAGGCTCAAAGTGTTGTATCAGCACTTCCATGGCAGATTATTCTCCATATGTGAGATGTTTGAGCCACCATCTCATTGTTTTGTTGCTGCTTTGCTGATTTTTTTAGACCAAAAGGGTGGGAAAGCCACTCTAAGAACATCAAGACTATCCTTCTTGCTTGCTCACCGGCCTCCGAGCTTGCACCATCAATGGAAGCAACAAACACACTCTTTGAGATACCTGAATATCTAGTGTCGTGAAATTGACCAGACCATAATCTTCAATAATGTCGCATAGCTCTTTGGTGAATTTCCTGCAAATGAGGAGTGAGGTAGTTTTGGCTCAAGCAAAGTGAGAAATAAGGCCTGATGTGGAAGCACCAAACCTGTACTTGGCAGAGCGTGGATCTTGATCAAGGTGGTATTGCAAATAAGACAAATCCTGTACATCAGTATAAAACTCCAGGTTGTAGGTTGCAATTTAAGTAATGCACGTCGAGGGTGAGGAATAAGTCATTTTAGTAAATATAGTAAAAGGGAAAGCACATCACTGATATTGGACTATTGTACATGATACTCGAAGTCAAGGGGCCCACAGGGACATTCAACTACGGACGTTGATAAACAACCATCCTGTAGTGGGAACACACCGTGGATGCAGCTTGGAGTACCTTTTTTTGTTTGGATCGATTAAGGGCCATATAACATTGTCCATAAAAAGAATTCATCTTCACAGTGATTATAAATTAGAAACAACTTTGTGGGTTTTCCTTTCATAACATACTATTTATCTGAGTTTTAATTCTTCAAAGCTTCGGTCTAAAGTATCAAAGAATTAAAGGCTCAGAACTACAAACCTCTATTAGGTGGTATGAGCTGATTCACTTCTGCTTGAGAAGACTGCACAAAGATTCATGTTGAATGATCAAGAGAAAATGACTTGAATATTGATCGTTACACAGTCATTAGTTCCTAAAACCAGGGTACTAAAGAACTCATACACTGTTCAACCAGAGAAAATCATAAAAAACGATGATGCTAAATCCACCACTCAGTATGAAATACCAGCCATGTATTTGAAATAGCAAAGTATTTGCACATGATTCAATCGCTAGAGAATGGAAGTGTTAAGAAGGAAAGAAAAGAAAGCACAAAGGTGCCCATAGTTCTTTCTTTTAAGGCTTATGCCATGCCAAGAATTGTCAACTTCAAAAAAGTAGATTTTACTCAGCCCAAGTCACAAAGAAATTACCACTAAAAGTACTATAAAAAAAAAGAAAATTTCCCGAAGTAAGTGATGGTTAGTGCTGTTACATGTTCAAGGCATCTGATATGTCCTTTTTATTTTCATTTTTTATTAGTAACAGTTGAATTTGAGTGCATTATTTGATACTCAAGTTCAAATAGATAGGCGATGCAGCAGAACAACCCAAACCCGTGGTTCGTTGAGTTGAAATTGGAATATCTTGAATCCTCAATTATCCAGACAACAGACAAAGCATGGATAAACTGGAACTAATTGTTTCCTAAAACTTGCTGCATAAGTTCACTTGCATCATATTGGTTTATTTTCTCTGTATGGTGTGTTATAGTCCTTCATCTTTGCTGAACTTTGTCCGGCAAGCTGATTCCTCAAATGTAATTTGATAACATTAAACTTTTAATTCTTTGACAGCATGTGTTGTTTTAAAAATAATGAGCATCTCCAAGGTGTAGGGCCAAAATCTAGGTCAATAAATAAAACCTGACATATCTAACAGTTAATACGCTTCACAAACACTACCATCTATGCCATGTCTTCCTCTTTTTGTTCTTGATTTGATTCACCAAATGATGAATTACTTCTTCCAATGTGGCCTGCCTTCCTTCTTTAAAACTCCAGAGAATAGGAACAGGGTATTTTCCACTTGGATTGTATTCATTGAGTTGAAGCATTGCCGTCTCCACATCCTTGAAAACTTCATCCCCATATTCGTCTCTGAGTTCTCTCAACTTGTCATCATTTTCATCGATGACCTCCTGCACCATCACCAGAATTTTCCAGGAAATCAGAAGCATGATATAAAACAAACTAAAAGGAATTCATTAATGTCTCAATAAGATCAAGCATTTAAGAAGATACACATATGGGAAGTTAACCCACATCTAATAGGTCAATATGTCGCAGTTGAAAGCATATATGGAGATGTGGACATTTTGTAATACCTACCATCACTCATATGCAGTTGAAAAAATTCACAAAATTCAGAGTTACACACTCTGTCCATGCTTCCAATAGTAACCGTCTTGAAAGGATGCCAAGATGGGTTTCTTGTGCGTTCTTCCCATAAGGAGCATAACTCTGATGCCCTCAAATCCCATTCTTCATTTGGAAGCTTTGCTTTTACAGCACGAGTACATGGCTGCTCATCAAGGACCCCCATTCTCTTCATACCTATAAATGAACTATTATTTGGTTTCTTCTCAAAATACTGCAAGAATGGATATATGTCAGTTCAGAAGTTACAACCATCAGAAAATAAAATTTGACAAAATATGATTATACATCGAAAGAAATCATGAAGAAAAGTGGGTCCTCCAAATATGCCTGTGTAATTAAAGGTATACCAGTCTATTGTTGTCTTTTAAAACATATAAATTTTAATTTTGAGGGTTTGATTTTTCCAAAAGACTTGTAGCACTATACCTCAACTGCGGCTTTATGAGCTGCTTGTAGCTCATCATTTGCTTTCTTTCCTTTCTTAAAAGAACATTGTTTATCTCTTCCAACCTTTGCATTTCACTTTCTTTCTCCTTTAACTCCTCGACTGGTTCTTTCACTCCCTGGTAAAAGTTTTCTTCAATATCTTTCATCATCATTACATCACATTTCATCTTGTTTATTTTTTCTTGACAAGCAAGTAGTTTTTGTGCGCTTTCATCACGAAATGCTTGTAGCTTTCTCTGTGAGTCACATTCTTTACTTGAAAGAGCATTGGCTAACTTTGCTAGGAGTTTCATCATTCGATCTTTCTCTGTGAGTTCCCTATTAAGTACCTCAATCTTTCGGTTGGCTTCAATGTTCATCATTAGCAGCTCTTGTGTTCTTCTAGTAGCTCCAACTACTCCAGCTGCTGAGTTTCATGCTTCAAATAATTCCTTTTCTAGTTGCTGAATGGTATTACCAACATATTTAAAGGTATTGAATTATCAACATTTTTAAAGGTATTGAATTATCAATGGACGCATTTTACCTGGTCATCACCAAATTCAAATTCCCATCAAAAAAAATCACACAACAGGGAAATGAATACTGAACCCAAATTAATTTAAAAAATAAAAAAAATGTTGCATTGTGAAATAGAGAATAAAAGCATGACATAAAACCAAATAATTGTATTAAAATTTCAATTGAAAGTCAGGCATTATTTTTTCTATTAGAGCATTCAGCAGTATTCATTGCAACTTCTTCAAGTTATAGATCCAAACAATAAAAATTGTGCAGTGAAACCCATTTATAACCATCTAGTGAAGTTTTCTTTCAGAATCAATGATAAAAGAAAGTAATAAAATCCAACTGAACCATTGTTCTTCTGTTTTTATGATTGAATTCAGAAAAAAAATTAGGTAAAAAGGCACAAAAAAAATCCCTACCAAGCCTAAAAATGATAAAAACTAAATTAATGCAGGCTAAGAGATGGAGAGCTCGTGTTCCATATATCAATGGTACAAGGAAAAATGATATGCAAAATCGCAATAGAGAGATAACTAACCAGAAAAATTTGGGTAAAAGGGCACACCAAAAAATCCATACCAAGACTAAAAATGATACGAACTGAATTAATGCAGACTGAGAGATGGAGAGCTCGCGTTCCATATATCAATGGCGAAAGGAAAAATGATATGCAAAATCGTAATAAAGAGATAACTAAAACATGTTGGGTTTCCTTCATGAAGAAGGTTTCTTCTCTATCTAAAGCAGCTGGTGAGAGAGAAAGGCCTTGAGAGAAGGGGGCGACCGATGAGACGGCGTGAGGGCAGCAGCGTAGAGAGATGAGAGGGCCACGGGAGAGAGGGGATCTCCGCATAGCAGTAGAGAAGGCGAACGAGAGAGAAGAGAGGTTAGCAGAGCAGAGGAGCGTAGAACGTGAAATTTCAATAGGTTTGAAGCTTTTGATTCCATCACAGCCTTTCGCGTGCAGGGTTTTGGAGCATATCTCAACCGTTATTTTGAATTAATTTGAACGGACGGTGGATGGTGGTGTGGCCAGATTACTGTTGCTTTTTGCCTGTAGGGAAGATTT